AATTCAATAAAGTTAATTTGTTTGTTAATTTGCTATTATAAAAAAAAATGTTCGCCATCAAATATTGAAAATTGGTTTATATAAGACAGAAATTTGCTCCACCAACCAAACCAAACTTTTGATACTAAGTTAAAAGGTGAAACTACTATTATTTAGCCACTTTTGTCGAAAAATTGTGAAAATGCCAGTTTTTATTGGAAGTGGTCGAAAAAATGAACTAATTCGAATCATTTTCAATAGCGTTGTTCTTGGGCCGAAAGATGTCAGTGTCCCAAGTTTGATCAAAATATCTCAAAATTTGGTACTACTTGTAGGCTCAACAAATAAATACGTGGACAGACACAAAACGGACAGACGGACGGAGAGGCAAACTTAGATCGAATTAAAAAAATGATTCTGATTGGCTCGGTATAATAATCGATAGGTCTATGCTAAGCCCTTCAGGATATTATAATGTCCGCACAAGCTTAATGTACCCTGCGCCATCAGTGATGCAGGATACAATCGCAGTTGTCGTGTAGTTATTACATGAAAACGTTTTGCATGACCATAATTGTTCTGCACAATCTTTGCAATGACGAGTAATAAACAATAATTGCAGCTGAGGGAACTTTCATATATATATATATATAAATATATAAATGGAATGACAAAAAAACTCACTTATTTCATTTTTTCTCTTATCACGGTCTGGTATTTTATAAAATTTATGCAAATGTTTAGTATCTGTCATCATTTAAATAATATACGGACATGTTCACAATTCGTATATGCCATGGCATGACATGACTAAATGTTGATTTCCTTGCTTTAAAAGCACGTACATATATATGTATGTATATATATTATTGTCATAAAAAGGCGAACGTAGTACTTGACATTTCTGAACGTCAATTTTAATGAAATGCCAGAAGTATAAAAGTAAATAATATAAGAATCATTATGATAATAATTCTAAAGCATGCTAAAAACTATGGTATCCACGGGCGTCAGATTGCCCACTCTCAAAGTCAGGAGTACCCTGCTTAGAATAGAGGTGACAGTATTGGTTGAAATGCGGATTGGTGCTTGCCAAGATCCTTCGGCGCGACGCCTGCATATTAACATACCATGTGAAAACTTTGGTCGAAGCTGATATGTCCAATCACATTTTTGAACGCAGCAAGTTAACCCAATATGTTAGATCCGACTGCTGGCCCCTCCTCGCTCAGAGAGGAAAGTTTGGAGCGTACCTTGACTTTCATTCTGGTACCCCAGTGCTTGGAATATTCCCTCTCTCCTGCAGGATTGCCTTGCAACGCTGACGCGTATCCAATTCAATCAAATTAACCGCCAATGGTTCTCGGGAGCTCGTTTAACTACCGCTTCACGCCAGATCCACACATTAAATATCGACATATTAATACTTAACGGCTTGTAACGTATTCCTTAAAATCTACTAATGTTGTTATTTTCATAATAATTATTACAAGCTAGGTACAATAAGGTATTTTAGAAGAATTCCGTAAGCAGTTGAAATTCTGGGATATCAGAAATAAAATTTTTCCTTCAGAGATAACACCACTGCAACATTTTAAAAGAGCGTGTTTTGACAATTTGGTTGAATACAAAAAAAGATAATAATCTCCGATGATAATCTACGAAGGAGATATTGAAAAAGTGAGAAGGTATTCTCGCGCGAAAACTTTAATTTAAGGGGCTCTGGGGTTCATAAAGTAACTAAAACAAATGTAAATCGAAAAAAGATCAATTAATCGACGTACGTATACTTGGAAAAATACGCTGGAAATTTTAAGGATATTCGTTTTTATTGGACGGATTGTTTGTCTTTCGCCTTAGTACTGGAATGTACCGAATGTACCGCACCCTTCAAAAAGTAATTCTATAAATAAGCGAATTCATAGTTATGTTAAAACATATCATCACAAAACTTTTAGTTTCTTAACCGAGACACTGACACCTTTCTCTAACGAATCTCTCTCACACTGATAGCCTTTCCGACCAGCTGCATATGCGGAAGTCGATCATTGACCTCTAGTTTTCCAGCTTTCACATATCGAAAATGAAAACCAGATTAAATAATGGCCAACCTTACAATCACAAGTGACTAATCAGTAGTAAGCAAAATATTTATTTTTGGTGGGAAAAGAATCATTCGTTAAATCCATTTTTTCGAATAATTTTTTTTTTATCGAAAAAGCCGATGTATATTATCGGCACTCTTATCTCCTTTCCTGCCTTAACCTAAGGTCTCTCAAACTCCCATAAACTGATATATAAAAACCTGTTTAGCCAAAATAATAGATTGGAGGGAAAGTTCCGTCATATTTTAAATAGGGGGGTAATTTTTTCCTGTAAATAAAAATTGTAACATCTCGCTAGTGAGTCATTCGGATTTTTTTACTTATGATATTTAAAGTGAAAAACATGTTAGTAGATAAACTGCATTTATGACACCACATTTTTGATGAATTCCTAAAAGGAAGCAAGTCATCGGTTGCATATAAAAATTTATGTCCGGTATTTGGAAAAGATATTGTAATTGTTCGTATTTGTCAAAGATGGTTTAGCAAATTTCATTCCGGGGATCTGAGCCTCCAAAGAAAACGATCGATAATGATGATTTCCGATCCATGTTGGGAAATAATCCATATTTAACAAGTCGAGAAATTGCAGAAAAGTTAGGCATTCACCGTACAACACTTGGAGGTCACATTAAATCTCTCGAGTTTGTGTTAAAGCGAATTACATGCATAAAATACGACAGAACTTTCCCTCCAACCTATTAACTTGACTAAATCGCGAACGATCATTAATTCCTACACACCACAAATAGTGAATATCGAAATTTGTCTTGTTGATTATAAGCACATCTCAACTTACTGCATTAAGAACGTACAAAACTTACTTTACAAAAAGAAAGCAGAAACACCCAAATATTTATAAATTGGTTAAGTGAGAAGAGGAGAAGGGACTACCATGTGAATTTAATTCAGAAACAAATATGGCGGTGTAAGTAGCATTATATCCATTGAGTATGATGGCAGCAGAGATAACTGATAACACTTAACTGCTTACATAAGAATAAAATAAATAAAAACATCATAGTCCGACCAGGCCGACAATTCCTGCCTTATTTTCCTAATGAAGTGCGAAAAATTGTACTTAGTTTCCAAATAAAGACATGCTGTTCATTGAAGCCTTTACACAGATGACGAACTAAAACGTGAACTAAACGTGGACTAAACGTGGACAAACGTGGTCCAAATTTAGCAAAATTAATCTTCTTGACAAAAACTTTATACGCCTAGCGCCTACGCTTGACCATAAAGCACTAAACATTAGAATGCTCTCCACATAAATGCTTACACAGGGTGGGGTCCGAAAAATAGATCTACGTGATCCAAATTTGGTACAGTTGATTTTTAAGGCATATTAGTGTTATGATCGATTACTGTAAAATATTGAAGATTGGCTCCTTTTCCCACATAACGGAACTTAAAACAGCACCCCATTCTACCCACATTTTTCATATCGCCTTGATAAACTGATATCCTATTACTTAAGCGACTTTTTTTTGAAAAATTTTGAAAATTGCGAATTTTTTTTTCTTATGATGAATGCTTTAAAAATAAGGGGCGATCCAACCCACTTTCAATAAGGCTCGTTTGTCTGAATAGCTCGTAAATTGCGAGCTCTAGCTTTACCACAAAAATACGTGGGCAGACTAACGGACGAACGGATCGGTTTAAATCAATTGAGAATATGATTTTTAGCGGATCGGTATAAAAAAAGCTAAATCTATCTTAAGCCCTTCCGCTTGTTATATACATCCGCACAACCATAATATGCAATGTATCACAAGCGGTGTAGATTATAGAAAAAAAACATACTTGTACACACACCAAACATACCGTTAAAAGCCTAAAAGAAAGCTTCATCGTTGCATCTTCTTTTATTCAATTTGAATTTAAGATGTACCCATATTGCTTGATGCTTGAAGGCACTCGTCTTTAATTGAATTATTCGTTTATTGTTTATTTGGAGAATAATGGCAAAAGCACTTTCGCCTCCGCAAATAAAATTACGAGTGTGTGTGTGTGTGCATGCAAACTTTTTTTTTATTGTCTTTAATTATTTTCATTTTATTTGCTATAAAGCTTCAAACTTTTTTTTAAACGTAAATAAATTATAAGTGATGTGATTATTTAATGCCAAACTATGTCGTATCTATGGATGGGAACTTTTACTGTAACCATGACTTTATGTCTAACCTATGCTGTTATAACTTGGTAACGTATAAAACAATTTTAAATGAAATCATCAATAAATATTTCATACAAATCTTAATATTGAACAATTGAATTAATTTCCATCGTTTTTGTTTAACGATCCCAAGCATTTTC